TTTTACACATTCATTCTGCTGTTTCTTAAATGATGCCCAGCATCTGTAATGTGTAAGTTTATGTATAAGTAAAAAAATTGCTTTACTAACTCCTTTATGTTGTCCCTCCTGTCTTTCTCTTTCAGACTTGTATGCTTTGCTCTCCCCCCATGATGCTGCCTAACTGGTGCAGTGTTTCAGCCCATCAGCGGATCCATAAGCACCGCGCACCCCATGTGTGTCCAGAGTGTGGTGGCACTGCTCGTCAGGCCACGTTTCAAACCCATCTGGAAGAGTCTTGCCTGCACTTTGCCAGACGCATCGGCTACAGGTTCCTGGCCTTTAATTTCCTATCAGTGTTTTGTGATATTGCAGACAGTTTCGTTGCTTCGCAGCTGTATTTTATAGGGTATCTGCGAGATTTCCTGCAAGGAAATAGAAGAAATTGCTTAGTTATACTTGCATGTGCTCAAATTTGCATCCTTTATTCCAGGTGCTCCAGTTGTCAGGTTGTGTTCGGAGGTTTGAACTCCATCAAGTCCCACATACAAACAGCTCACTGTGAGGTATTTCATAAGTGCCCCAACTGCCCGATGGCCTTCAAATCTGCCCAGAGCGCACAGGGGCACATCACTTCCCAGCATCCTGCCCTCACAGCTGCACAGGCTAAGTAGGTTGACCCATCACACACAGCTTTTCGTGATTAGTGCCTAATATTTTGTTTGAAAAAAACAAACATCCTTTAACTCTGAATATATTATTATATTATTTCTACAGGATGATCTACAAGTGTGTCATGTGTGACACAGTGTTCACCCAGAAACCTTTGCTCTACATGCATTTTGACACTCACCTGGCCAAACAGAAGGTGCATGTGTTCAAATGTCCAGACTGCACTAAACTTTATGCCCAGAAAGGGTCCATGATGGAACACATCAAGGTAAATACCTTATTAATAATAATAACATTACATTATTAGATAATATAAACAACTTCAATAATAATAAAAACAATTATTATTATTTTATTATTATTATTATTCAGTATATAGAGTGCATTTGAGAATATGAATTGTTTAAGTTTTAAATTAATTAATTGTTATTTTGCCTTTTGTGTTACCCATTCTTTTCTCTTCCCCTAAAGAATGTGGTGTCAGCAAAGGCATACATTAAGATTCTTGGTTTGGCATTTACAAAGTGATTTCTGTGTATCACCTTGTCTAAAGCTCATACCAAGTACAACAGCCACCACAGTGTGAATTGTCACATTTTCCTGTCAGTCACGCTCATGCTTTTAACCAGAGCTGTCTTGTATTATTTCCCATTAGACTGTTCATAGAGGCCTGTCTGTCAAAGCCGAGACTCCGCCCACCACCTCATCTCCGGTCTCAGCTCCTTCCAGCAACTCCATTTCTAAACCTAAACCCACAGAAAACAATTCGGATGAGTTGAGCCAGGGACAGGGAGAGGAGGATGAGGAGGGGGAAGAGGAGGAGGGAGAGCATGAAGGGGAAGAGAGAGACGAGGGAGAAGAGGAGGAGAATGAGGAGGAAGATCAGGCGAGCTCTCCAGAAAGCGGGAGTATGGAGTGGAGGTGCAAGGAGTGCAAGAAACGCTATGCTGAAAGAGAGGACTACATCGATCACATGAAGAACGAACACGGCAAGGTTGGTACTCTTAAAAACATACACAAGTTTACACAAAACATACACATGCTTAGTTTATCAAATTTGTGATATGCCTGTCTTTTTTACTTTGTTTGTTTGTTTCTCTAGTTAATGAAGAAGTTCCCCTGCAGATTGTGTGAACGTTCCTTCAGTTCAGCCAATAGCCTTCGTCGACATGTCCGAATAATACATGAGGGTGTCAAGAGAGTCTTCCGCTGCCCGTGAGTCAAACGTTCATCAACCACAAATTTATTTGATTCTTTCTTTTCCTTGCTAAAAAGGATTCTTTATTTGTCTAGTTTGCCCTTCTAATTCTGCATATGTTGCTCTCCTCAGGCACTGCTCAGAGGGCAAGCGTACGTTCAGTAGTCGTCTGATTTTGGAGAAGCACATTCGGGTCAGACATGGCATCAGAGCTCGACAAACAACAGACAGACCGGTCAGTTTGAGCACTCCACCTCTTTAGAGTTCAGAGACATTTGATTATGCACATATTAATTTCAATTTCTTTTCCCAGAATGCTCCAAACACCAGAAAGCGTTCGCTTCCGGGTGACGGGGCAGGCAGCTCGTCTGAGCTCGACAATGAGGGTGGAGCTCCACCTATAGGAGGCGGCGCCGATACTGATGACGTCGCAGGAGAGGACGCCAAAAGAACTCGAGAGTCTGAGAACCGGCCGCTCGAGCAGGAGGAAGACGAAGGCACATTCCGCTGCACACCCTGCGGCTTCACCACACAGGATTGGGAAGAGTTCCAGCACCACATTCCCGTCCACTGTGACGCGGAGAACTCGCCGCAGCAGTGCCTGCAGTGCGGCGCCTGCTTCGCCTCAGCCGGCTCCCTCAGCCGACACAAATTCATCACGCACCGTTTACGCCAAGGTCAGCATGACAATCGGGCCGGAAACACATCACCTGGCGCTTCGCCACAGGACGGCTCGCCATCTTCACCAAAAGCGGGTGAGGAGGGGGAGGGAGGGGTCAGCTGCAGGGTGTGCGGTCGGCGCTTCGACAAGGCCTCGGACCTTAACACGCACTTCCGCACGCATGGCATGGCCTTCATCACGGCACACAGGACCGACAAGCCTTTGTAGAACGAGCGAGATGGGACAAGACAAGGAAAAGCCCTTGCAAAATGGGTCACGGCTTTGGACCATCCAAAACGAGTTTAAGATTAATACTTATAATTTAGAAAATTTCACCTGTCGTTATGCTTGTAACGTGATCTGTCTTCCGAAACAAAGATATTAAAGTTATTTCCCCCTTTCCTCCCTGTTTGTAACATCCTCAGCCTTTTAAATGCATTTACACAAGGTCAGATTGTATCTGCTCGAAAACTACTTTGCATCGAGCAGCTGGGCGTCTGCTGGGTTTTGCGTCAACCTACAAAAAGCATTAAAGCAAAAAGGGTGCTAGTGAAGGTTTTTTTTTTTTT